CTCTCTCTCTGCCTCGCTCCCTCCTCTCTCTCTCTCCACCCCTTCCACCTCCCATCTCACTAAGCAGCTTTGGCAGGAGGTTTAGAGAACTGTCCAGGGGACCAGGCGAGCCCCGCTTTTCTTGTCCGCCCCGGCCCAGTTTCCCCCACACCCCTCTAGCACACAAGATACGGATAAGACCTCTTCTTGGGACATTCATCTAAGGACACTTGGTTCCTCGCCCTTGGATCACATTCTGTGACATGAGACACATCATCGCCTCCCCAACTCAGTGACACACCCCACAGGCCAGGCAGCTGAGAACCCCAGAGGATGGGACAGTCACTGACTCTCCTGGGACAAACACAGTTCAAACAAACAGCATCTCTCCCCAGCCCTTGGACATGTGGCCAGCCGCCCACTCCCCTCTCCCGACCCCCACCACCCCAGAACATATGGCATGAGCCTGAATCAGTGATGAAGGACGCAGCCCCCTGCATCCTAGTCTTGTCCCCAGGACTTCTCAGGACACGCAGGAACACAAGACCTGAGATCTGCTGCTCGAGACGGATAGGTATTTCCCTGTGCCCCTGGCAGACACCCTTTCATTCATTCATTCATTCATTCATTCAGCACATTCTCTGAGCACCTCCTCTGTGCCAGCTCTATACTGGACAGAGGTGGGGACATAGCAGTGACTCAGACACCCCAGGCTGGCCCTCTCGAATCTCACATCCCAGTAGGGAAGACAGACTGAGCACCAGTGACGATCCAGAGTGGTCAGGACTGGGGCGGGGAAGCCCAGAGGATGGCGGGAGCCCAGATGGGGCAGTCAACCCTGCCTCAGGAGGTCAGGAAGGGCTTCCTGGAGGAGGAGCCCAGAACAATAAGTGAGACTGAGCTAGGTAAAAGCAGTGAGGAGTGCCAGGAAGATGAAATAGCATGTTCAAAGGCTGGAGGAGGGGCAGTTTATTCAGTGTCGTGGCTGAAGCATAGAGAACAGGCGAGAAATGGAAAGTGTCTTCTGGGCCTAGTAAATTCACACACGAACACGAAGACAGACAACACACACACTGCACAAAACAAAAACCTACCTGGCCCTTAACCCCAAGGGAGGGGCAGAGCACACAAAGGGGTTCCCCCACTTTGTACGGGAAACCCCAAGCCCCAGATTCAATCCCTCTGGCTGGCTCAGACATGGAGAAACAGAGACCCAGAAAGAGAGAGGTACTGGCCCAAGGCCATGCAGACTCCTGTGCACTCAGCCAGACACCCTCATGATTCTAAATTCTGTCTGATTTTGAGTATCTGCTTGAAGCTCTGGAACTCACTTTCAGAAGGAAAATACACACACACACACACACAATTTTTAAAAAATATTTTATTGAATTACGACATATTTGCACCAAAGTGCAAAATCTTAAGTGACTACTTAATCAATTCATCATATTCTTTATTTATGATCGAAAACACAAAAGCAAAACGACAATCGGTTTATGTCTCCCCTTCTATCTCGGCATGCAAACACACACACGCATGCTCCACGCACCCCAAATTTAGCACAGAGTAGCTCGGTGGCTAAAAGCTGAGACTCTGAAGCCAGACACCTGGGTTCAGACCCCTGATCTTTCACTACTGGCTGAATGAACTTAGTTAGACAAACCCCAAACCTTCTCTGTGCTTCAGTGTCCTTAACAGTAAGTCAGGAATAATAATATTGCCTGCCTCGTGTATAAAAGTGAACAAATATATATAAAGTGCTTAAAATGGTGCTGGCACTTGGTGTTATGTAAGCACCAGCTGTTAGTATTGGACATTCTTTCAGAGTTTCACTGAGTCCCACAAAACCCCCGTGGACCCAGGATAAGAACTACAAGGGGGTGGGAGATCACAGATCCCCTGAGCTGGAAGGACACCTCGCAGAGATGGAGAGCCTGGCCCCTTCATTCCAGGCTTTCCCGGGGACCATCCACCCCCCCACCCCCCCCAGTTCCCACCCTGACCCACACCCTTTCCTATTTACACCCAGACGGAGGCAGCCTGCACGCTGACTCACCCTTGGCTCAAACCAAGCCATTGTTCAGGGGGAGGGGGGAGTACGAGTGAGGAACAACGGCCCAAAGGAGATTGAGGATGTCAACTATACGAGTGACCCAGCACAGTGACACTCAGACACATGGTAAGACTGGCCTGCCAGGCTGAGAGACAGCAAGCGAGGGATCAGAGCGATAGCACCAGCATGCTGCCCTAGAATGCCCACAGGACACTGGACACTCACCCCAAGTGTCCCAGACGTGCAGGCACACAGAGCCTGGCACACACTTAGGTCCGTTACAGAGCCAGGGGAAAAACTGATCTGATAGACAGAGTCCCACCCAGGGAGAGACACGCGCACGCTCCACACACTGGACATGGCCAGCTCACCCGGGCAGTCACATTCCCACACCCGCTGGCCATAGAGTCTTCTTTGGCTGTAAAACCTACATGCAGACAAACCCATCAGGCCTCCAAACAGTCTTACCTCCCAGCGCCTTGGTCTGCCTGTTGGTCTCTTTCTTTCTCGTGTTCACACACATCAGTCTTATCTGTCTGTTCCTATATACACACTCACATACATAATTATGCATACCACACACCCGTCATCCAAATAACCTTTTAAACACGTAGAGGTCTCTGGCCGTCTCTTTCCCGTACACACCTACGTACACACGCATGCAAACACACACGCTGTCACACGGTCTCAAGGTGGCATGCATTCACTGTACACCCTCACTGTCACTTCATGACATTCTTTGTTTCTCTCTCTTAAACCCTCACACACACTCAGCTTAGTCTCACAGATAGTCTACGTAACCTTGAACATCATGGCCACACCCCAAGCCTTCTTCACACACACGAGCGGGCACAAGCATCTTTCCTGGAATCGCGGGCATGCAGTCTGTTTATATCTCAGGCTGTGCTGCTCTCTCTCTCATAGACACGTACACAGATAAAGATCATTCAGCCGGTCCTGCCTGAATATCCACATGCATGCACGTGCACGTGCGCACACACACACGCACACCCCACTCACCCAAACAGCCTCGCAGCGTTACCCAGAGTCTCTCTCCCACCCACATATATCCCAACACTATTCAGAGTTAGCTTCTCTCTTCCCCACTGCCCCCCGCTCCCCAACACACACATACACACATAGTAAGAATGCCCGGGTCAGAACTGCAACCAATATCTGGAGAATCTCCAGCAAAGGTACCCAGTCCCCACTCTTCCACGAGTTGCCTTTGACCCACTCTGCTCTCCCCTCTCCACACCCCTGCCCTCCCCCACCCCTCAGCCCTCCATCTGGTGGGTCCAGGCAGGCACTCAGGCCTCTCTTCTGTCTCCCCCATCCCCCAGCCCTTCCCCATCCTCTCCAAAAGCCCAGAGGCCGTCGCTGCAGGCTTTCAGGGGTTGCCATGGCAACAGGGCCTCGTCCTTCGTCCCCCTGGGGGTGGGCTGAGGACCCGGCCAGCCAGACCGATAAGGGGGTTCCAGTTACTGTGGCAACCGTTGCAGGCCTGAGCTCTCAGCTTCTAGAAGGGAGGAGTGAGTGAATGGTTGCCAAAGCAACCGGGAGGCAGCAAGGACTGGGAAGAGGCAGCTGAGCCCTGTCTCCCCTGCCCGGGGCTGCTGTGGGCATCGCAAAGCACTTAAGCATCATTCTTCCATCCCCCGGGGTTGTTTTAGGGGAGGGCGATGAAGTGCAGATTATAAAACAGGGATTCCGCTCACTCTCCCAGCTACCCACCGTAGCCTGGGAGCCCATGCCAGCATGCCCAGGCTTACCACGTGACCACTCCCCGGACCTCAGTTTTCTCTCTCCATTAAATGGAGCCCGTCTCTCAGGAATGTTTCCATTCCTGTCTGATGCGTCTGCCTGCCCTCTTCCTCGTTCAACAGGAACCACAGAGCGAGTATGCCTGGTACAGGGCACAGCAGAGGCCTTGAATGCTGTGCACAGCTTTATTGCCGAGAAGGTCCGAGAAATCCCACAAGCGATGACCAAACCTGAGGTGGTCAACATCCTTCAACCCCAAACCACGATGAACCCCGACAGAGCCAAGCAGGTCAGCGGGGACAGAATGGGTTTCTATAAAGCAGTGAGAAGAAGACATTTCTCCCATCACTGAATTACTGTGGGAGTTCAATTGATAAAACATGTACCAATCAAATACCTGGTAGTGGTTAGTGTTGTTATTATTAGAGAATCAGCCTAGCGACTCCAGACCACCTGATTCTGGGAGAATTTGGCCCAGACACCCCTACGTACCCCTCTTTCTTGGGACTCTCTGGATCCTCTTCCCCCCTATGCCTCATCCCATTGTCTCTCAGAGCAACCTGCCTCCTACTTCCTGTCCTCCGGTCGGTGACCTCAGCCACAGCCCATCCACATCTAGAAGAGTTTAGAAATGGCCTCTCATACTCCCCCTCTCTGTATGGGAGCAGCCACCATTTCGGAGAAATGATGTTTCCTCAGCAAGAGAGGGGGCAGGTCCCTCTCCTACACAGCCCTCTCTAGAAGGGATGGAAGGAGGAGGGCAGCGCCTCTCGGTTGCCTCAGTTACAGGGAAGCGGTGGCGTAGGGGCGTGGCACGGAGCGGACCAATCCCTTCCCGCCTCTCTGGTTGCCATGACCACGGTGCGCACTGGGCAGGTGGGCTTGCCGCAGAGCCCCTGGCAGCACTGTCCTGAGGGTCGGGGGCCAAGGGGGAGGGGAATGCCCTCCGGCGTTTTCTCCCCTTCCCCGGTCCCATATACATGCGCACACGATGCAAAGGGGGCGACGAGTCCCGGACTGGCGGACAGGCCACTTGTGAGCGTTCCTTAACGTCTGCCTAAGAAGCGAAGACGAGAGAGGGCCTCGGTAAAAGGAATCTGGAATCCTTGGGAATCCTCGTTGCCCTGAGGTGGTGGTTGGGGGGACCACAGACAGTTCCTCCAAGATCGTGGAGAAACAGTGGGCGGAAAGCCTTGGGAGAACGCTGCCCAGCGAGTGGATCTCGTCCCCAAAAAGACAGCAGGCCCGGGGCTAGGATCGCGGCTGCTGTCCTTGGTGCTGAAGCGGCTCCGCTCCTCGCGCCTCGCGGGGCCTCTTTCGAATCCCTTCCTATGGGCAGGCCACAGCTTCCCCACAGTTCGCAGGGAGGCAAGGGTATTGCCACTTCCCTCCGCCTTGGTCGTGGCCACAAGGGGCCTAGGGTTCATCAAGAGTCTGTACATGTTTAGAGAAAATGGGGTCAGCGCCATCTGTGCCTGAGCCACCCCACCCCCTAATCCGCGGGAACTCTGAGATAGTGAGTGGAAAGGTTATAGAACCAGGATTTTTCCTCTGCCTTATTACTCGGGGGCTGCAAAGAATTATGGAAATAATGGCTGAAGGCTCATGCTCTGGAGTCAAGATGTTAAGTTGAATCTTACTCTGATACTTTTACCTGCCTGACCTTGAACAGGTGACTTGATTTCTCCATATTTCGTTTTCTCATCTGTAAAATGAGATTCATTATGGTACCTACATCAGGGTGGTAGCATTCATTGATGTTCAAAAAGCACTTAGCATGTATGCCTAATGGATAGGAAGTTCTCAAAAACATGTTAGCTGTTGTTATTGTTATTATGGATTTTTGAGTCAGAAGACAGGTGTGTCTAGTCCCTATTTGCCTTGGGCTTGCTGTGTTTACTCTAGGTCTTCTTCTCATCTATAAGCCTCAGTTTCCCTTTCTTTACAGTGTGAAAACTGGGCCAAACCAGGGGCAGCCACTGCTCTACTCCAGTTGAGTCTTGCCCTTTGGGGACATGGACATAGTACTGCCACATTTTCCACATTTTTCAAGATTTTTGAAGGTCAGCTCTGTTTTTTAAAGCACTATGTGGCTATGGGCTGGCTATGGCCTGAGGACCACCAGTTTGCCACCGTGCCTGGTATCTGAATTATCTAAGTAGCTTGCAATGCCTGTTCCAGAATTCTGGCCCTGAACCAGAATTTCTGGGGCTAAGACCTGGGAATATAAATGTGGACTCTGTGGCCTGGGATCAGATCCTGGCTATACTGTTCACTACCTGTGTGACCTTGAGTAAGTTACTGAATCTCTCTGTGCCTTTGCCTCCCAATCTATAAAATGCGATAATAATAATACCTACCTTGTAGGATTGTTGCTAAGTTGTTGCTAAGATTAAGTAAGTTACTATATGAAAGTTTCAAAAAGTGCCTGGTATGTGGTAGGTACTGTTAGCTGCTGCTGCTGCTGTTACTATTACTTTAAAATCTCCAGACTTGCAAATCACTGAGACAGATGGGCTCTGAGGTTATTCTGGCTCTAAAACCACTACAATTTGACGGCTCTGTGATTCCAGGATTCTAGGTGTGTATTATTCTAAGATTCTGCTGTTCTAACATTCTTGGGACTCCAGGATTCTATGGAACTGCCCCTGTGGATGTGGCTCTTCAATCTGGGCCTATCGTGAAGGCAGCTACTGTTTTCTGAGGGTTTCCCGTGTGCCAGGCACTAGGCAGTCACTTCAGTCATTGAATAGTTTCGGTAATTGTATGGAGTAGCTGTGGTTTATGTCAGTGTTGGAGACGAAGCACAGAAGCGCAGAGAGGTGAAGGGATTTGCTTTCACCATTTCTTGATGGGCACAGTTTCTCAGATGAAACGGTCCCATCCTTCCCAGTTGCTCTGAAATGCTGTGTCACATACCAAATACCTCCTTGCCTCTAGGTCTGATTTTGTACACGCTTCTGTTCTATCCCCTTGACTTGTCAGACTTCTTTTTTCTAATGATTTTTTAAAAATAACAGCTGTATTGACATATAATTCCCACACTGTAAGGTTTTCACCATTAGAAAGTATATAATCTAGTGGTTTTAGTATATTCACAAAGTAGTACATTGATCACCACCGTCTCATTCCAAAATGTTTTCACCACCCCAAAGAGAAGCCCCATACCTGTTAAAGGTCACTCTGGGTCCATTCCCTCTGGGTCCCCTCCCAGCCCCTTTCCACCGCAAATTATACTTGATGTTTGTTGATTTGCCTATTCTGGATATTTTCCATAAATTGAATGATATTTGTGTGAGCTTTTGTGTCTGGCTTCTTTCCCTTGACATAATATTTCCAAGTTTCATCCATATTGTAGCACATACCAAAACTTCATTCCATTGTATGACCAAACAATAGCTCATTGTATGGATATACCACATTCTGTCTATTCATCAACTGATAGAAATTTGGGTTGTTTCTACCCTTTAGCTATTATGGATAATGCTACTTATGAACATATGTGTGGACAAATGTTTTCAGTTGTCTTGGGTATCTACCTCAGGTTGGAATTGCTGGGTCATGGAATAAATCTATATTTGACTTTTTGAAAAACTGCTAGACAGTTTTGCAAAGTGGCTGTAACACAGGCCTGCCCATGAGGTAACAATAACAAGAATCAGTTTTTGAGTATCTACTCTGGGCACATATTAATTGCACTCTCACGTGGCACCCTGTGCTTGACACATAGTATGTGCTCAGCAAATGTTGCTTGTTGGAATGAACGGATGATAACATGCCCTTAGAGCCCAGGCAGAAACATGACTGAGGTAGGTAGCTAGGTGTAACCTGGCAATGGTGGGCACCGTGAGTCACCTGAAGGACAGCCATACTCAGTTCTAATTAATTGCGGCCATGCTCGAATTTCAAGCACATCATTTTGTGCATGATCTCAGTTGGGCTTCACAATAATCCTGTGGAGGAGGTGTGGATATTTCCATTTTACAGATGAGAAAACTGAGTCTCAGATTAAATCTCTTGCCCAGCATCAATGGTGGAGCCAGGATTTAAACCTGAGCAGGTTATCTCCAGAGTCCAAGGCAGCTTTTCCGAAATGTGTGTGCACAGACTGCAAACTGATGGTCTGGCTACCACAGAGTGGTTCTTAGATATTTCGAAGAGGTTGCCAACATTTAAAAACTGGGATGCTTCACATTTGACAAATCAGAATATCCAGTTAATCTAGAAAAGTCAGATCAGGCTGAGTTTGGCTTCCCAAATGCACAGCATCCTACTCTGCTGCCC